ATCAATTAACAAACGGAGACGTAACAGTATTAACACACACACACACATATCTATGTTAATGCCATACGATAACCAATGCGTTCGTGGAGTTCATGATGTCATTAATCAAAAGAAAGCCTGATAACCATACCAACTAAGTCCACCATTAGTTATGTTTCCCAGACTCGCTGAAACACACGTAAGTTTCCAGGCGCCACCCAAAGAGATAGATTATCATCATCTGGAATGATATAACAAAAATAAAAGTAATCATGGAAGGAAATAAGCAGAATTGGCAGTTATTCTAACTACTACAAAGGATTAACAAGAATTAATTGTTTCCTAATTTTGTTTGAATATTTTTATAAAATTTAAGGCAATGGAAGAAAATTCAACAACGTTAAGATGAACCTACATATTTGTGTATTACTAACACATTTTTGAAGTTATTTCCCACATATTTTAGTTTGTAATAAGCCTACTAGAGGACAGCAGTATATATATATATGGTATATATATATTATTAACGGGGGATATCACACAGTTCTGTTTATATTTAGTTACGGATGGAGTTACCGACGCAGATGTTTATCTTATGAGTTGGTTTGAGAGGATGAGGCGTCAGTATAAGAGCAGTGTGATATGACGTCACGAATATGGTTGTTTACAAAAGGTGGCAAATTCTCGAAGTTGTCGTGTACAATGATAATTGGTAAGATTTTAAAGGCATTCTATACCATGTTAATTTTTGTTTTGTTTTTTGGTTTTGGAAACATACATTTTTCGTGTAAAATTTGTAATGTGGCAAATATAACATGAGGTTTGTCAACTCAGGTTGACAGAAGTCAGTGAAGAGTGAAGTGAAGATGATTTGTCAGGCGTTTTTCGTTACAACTACAACAGTACACGATTGAACTTGAAGCGGCTACTAATACAATAATTTACATGACCTACCTTGTTGTTTTTTATTTTAATTATCTATTGTTATTATTGTTCAGTTTTTTATTCAATAACAGTTTAAAAGTAGAAAGTGATTTTTTTCTTTGGAAATTAAATATAAAATTATAATCACACGCACGTTCCCATGCGATTAATAATAATTATTCCACCCACATTCAAAGAATGAAACTTCTAGTGAGTTCTACGTTGTTTGGCAGGATATCTAGATTAACAACTTTAATCAAGATTAAAAGAGTTAAGAAATACCCTGTGCGTTTCAAGCAAGATTAAATGACATTATGCTAATTTATATTTTGTTTCTACTTGCTTTTTAGAAACAAAAAATTATTTATGTAAGCCAAACAAGAGATAATAATTTTTGTCCACTGCTTATGTGTTATTATTATTGAAATAATTATAACTCAAAATTGATAAGTTTAAACTTTTGGGTATATAAATAAATATTTATGTGTATAAAAATATATTTGCTTTATTTTGACAGGTAATGCTAATATTCTCATTTGTTGAAATGAGAGTTAAAATTGCTTTGTAACATTCTGTGAAAAATTTCCCTTCCACAATGCCAAAAAGAAAGTTTGATTCCGATGGTGACAGTGATAACCTGTCAGTGCCTCTTCCAATCCAAACATTTTTTTGGAGACAAACCAGGTAACTTATTTGGATGATCATTTTTTTTTCAATTAAATTATTTGAAAAACTTACAAATATATACAAGTATATTGTATTTGTGTTTTTACATATTTACTTTTAAGGTTTACAGTAATAAAAATATACATTCTCTATATTCCTTTTCCATCATTAATATTAGAGAAAAATGGGTCTTGTTTCAGTTTATTCAAATTGAAAATTCTTTATGTATATTGTTATGAACAAAAAGAAAAATGATCATGAATGCTTTCCAGCAATGCACAATGTAATATTGGTTTTACATTATTGTTTTTTTTACCTCTTTGTGATAAGATAAGTAAAATGGTAATAAAACAAAATCACATTTGAAAAATAGACTAAACTATATTTATTGTGTGATCAAATGTAACTTATTATAGCTAATAAGAAAGAAGACATGTGTATTAAACATATTAATGGAAACTAGTATTAAAGGGGAACGAAGGTGGATGCCATCCACTCATTGTTTTTGAGGAAATGACATTTATCATACTGTATCTGCACTGTTGTCTGTCTTGAATAGTAGTTTGGAATGTTTTAATTTTGCAATTTTATCTCTGTGTTTGGTCACCTTATACAGTCCACTTATTATTTTCTGTAGGAATCTAACCCTGATGGAAACTATATATATTACAGAAAATTAATAATAATTTGATAATGATCTTTGAGATTCACTGTCAATAAAATAACAGTTTTGCAGAATTTTTTCAAAACCATTAACCTAGTTTGAAAGCACCAATAGGTTTTCTCAGAAAATATCCAATAATACATATATTTGTGATTTTGAGGCAAGTAGTTATTATGCGTGTATTCAACAAACTTCACACAGTCTTATGTTTTTTTTGCTTCTTTCTGTTTTATCTTACAAAATTCTAAATATGAAGTATGAAAAAATAATAAGCCTGTTTTAAATAACAGAAAATATAAAAATAACTATAAATCACATTTGTATCTTTATAAGGATATTTCCAAAATGGTCATTTTTAAAAAAAAACATACTTCAAAATTTTAAGTTAGACTTCCAATTTAATGTAATGAAAACAACATTAAATAAAATTCTATGTAACTGTTTGAACTAAAAAAGTGAGACTGATATAAAATATACTAATTTTTTTCATATAATCTGTAAGTGCTTACATTGAGTCATTTAAAAGCAATGGCATTATTTTGCATACAAAGATACTCTGAAATTGCTCTCATAAATTTTCTACCCCAAAGTTAACAAATAACATAACCTTGTTTTTTATTGACCTAATTGTTAATTAATATATTTATTTCACTTATTTAATAGTTGTGCAATGTGCTGTTTTATACAGTTTAATGATAAATTTTGAAAGTGAACTTTCATTTTATTTACTGTATCCTCATAGCCCATTTATTAGACCAAAGACTGGTAAAGTTCAAGAGGCATCATGTATGGTGAGTATAGTAGTATAATGATTTTTCATGATTTCTCTGTTAATACCAATGAAAAAAAGTGTTTGAGAAATTACCAAAGATTAAAATTGTTTTAAAGCAAATTTAAGTTTTGTGAATATTTTAGTAAAACTTAACAGTTTCCTGAATAGGCAAGAAAGGTTCCATTTGCCAAATATTTATCTTAAGTTTGTGGTTCTTTATTTGTCTCATAATTTTATACATAAACTTATAGAGTCATTAAGACTTTCTAAAGGAACCCAGTTGAGTAGTTACTACAAACTTTAGTAACTTGTCTTGATTCTTTAATTTTTATTCACAGGATTTTTAGCTGTTACAGTTAATTCCATCAGTGATTGTTAACTGAGAGTGCTGGCATTTTTGAATTATAGTCAGATATGTGGAATGTTTCTATATGAGTACATGTTTTTATATAAATTCTATTTGACAAAAATTATCACTAAAGATGAAAAATACAATGATATCTTTATAAAATCTACATTATACTATGAGTTAAAATTTTAAATTTATGCAATTTGGTAAATAGAACTTCACCTCCCAGTGGCCTTACAATGCTAGAATCCGGGTTTTGATACTAGTGGGGGCAGAGCACAGATAACCCATTGTGTAACTTTGGGCTTAATTACAAACAAACAAACAAATAGCACTTCTAGTATTTTGAATATTTCTTCAGATAAAAACTACAAGTTTTTAAATAAAATTACTTTAAGACCAATATTGGCTTCTTTAAAACATTTTTCAAAATTATTTATACTCCAATTTGCTTGTGGGTCCATGGCTTAGTTACACAGTCTTTAATAACATATGAAGTACAGAAAAATGTAAACAAATTACCATCAGTATTTCAACTAATTCCACCAATTACTGCTGGGATTTGTTCATTATTTTACTTAACAAGTGATTGATTTCACTCAGTTTTATTTGTTCAGTTCTTTACAGTGTGAGTTGTACCAATAAAAGCAAAAACCAAAATTACTCAATATGATGGACCAAGTGGACCAAACTGGTAATCATTGGTTTCTAAACAAGTTAGCAATTTAAGAGTTAATTATTGTAAACCCCAGTAACAAATTTAATATAGAAATATTTTATTAATTCTTTTAATAATTAATTTATACAAATAAAAAAAATTAAGTTTCTGAGGATTTGAAAATAATAGTAAGACGATGAGTGCAGACTCAGGAAAACATTGTCTATTTGAAACAATATAAGAAATGTTGTGAGATGTTTCCTTGCAGTTTAATGTTTTCTTTTGGAGTAACTGACCATTACATTGGGAAGCATGAGGGTACTTTAGAATGGGCATCACTAAAAAAGTATATAGATTGATGAATCTTTTCAACAGGCTTACACCCACTGCTTTAACAAACTTCTAACCTTAGACTGGAAACCCTCCCTTTAAACATATCACACTTGTCAGTTTTTTTTAGATATTTAGCAATTTTCTATAAGCATATATTTCTTTTAACTCATATATTTCTCCTCTTAGTTGTTATTTATTTGTATAACCATATTGCAGATGAATCAAACAATGAGGAAACACTTAAGAAAGAATTAAGTTGAAAAATGTTTACTGACAGATATGTACTGAAAAAATATATTCATCATTCTGTATTTATTACATACAGTACTTTTTAATGCATAACTTTTCTCCTGAGCTATTTTTTTTTTCCCTTACAGGAACAAAGGGAAGCATGCAAGGTAGGAAAATATCTTGCTGATATTAATTAATTTTTATCAGCCTGTGATTTCAATAGCTCATTGAAATGGAATATTTCTTACTAGTTATTTGTTCTTATAAACAAAATATACACAATGCACTGTAAACATAAACTATAACCATAATTTTTATGGGTTTCAACCATTGCTCTAACACAACAATAACTTTTTTAAAACAAATACATGTATATGTTTACTTTATTATTTTAATTTTTAATTTAATTATTTTTATTACATAATTTATTGCTGTTAAATTTTGTTTTTGTAAATTTATTACATTACCAAATTCACTGTGTTATATGAGGAAATTTAATTTAATTTCCTGTAGACTACATATATCAAATTGTAACAAAAAACAATTTTCACCACTTGTGTTGGTAGTGTGCGCAACCGGATATCATTTCTCAACACAGTACCCGTTAAGTATGATGAATTTCCTCCATCATTTTGTGAGCCTCCTCAAACCAGCTCAGCTAAATGCAGGTTTGATGTTGTAAATTTCTTTGCCTACTACTTCATTGAGAACATCAGTTATCTGGAGGTTTTATCCATACAGAGCATTCTTGAGTGGATCAAAAATATGTAAGTCACAGAGTGTTAGGTCAAGATCATTTGTGGGATGGGAAGGACAGTCCATACAAACTACTCAGTTTTATTAGTTAAATATGCATTGCTTGAAGTGGGGTGGGATGTCATCCCACTTCTTTTCAAGAGGGCCCAAAACAGTCCTGCTACCTCTTACTAAACTACAAGCTTTTCAGAAGAGAAAATTATATAAACAAAACAATAAATATTTATAGTAGTAAGAGACTGGGGACTCTTTTTTTTTTTGGTCTCAGTTGGTGTGAGTGAGCTCATAACCACAAAGTAACTATCAGAGTTTCCATAATATAACTTATAACAGTATACATCTGTTTTTACTTAATGTTTTTGTTTTATTGCTCTTTGAACTATGTCTAACTAATAATCTCATCACACAAGTTGTAAATCACATGGTGAATGTGCAGCTCACATTAACATATCCAATTATGTAATGCATGAGCTGTTCGTGAGTTACCCCCTGAAGAATTTTTATTATTACTATTATTTTTCATTATCTTACCCAATAGGTTTAATTTTTACATTCTAGTTACTTTTATAATAATGAATAAAGAACACACATGAAAAATAAGAAATGTAGTACCAGCCTTAAAATTTTCACAAACCATCCTGCTTCCCCCCCCCCCCCCCCCCCATTCAAGCACTGTATATACAAGGAATATAATGCTAAGCCATGACTTTTACAAACATGACATCTGAACTCCAATCTTTTGACTTAACAATATAACTGAGATGCAAAACATTAGAAAAAAAAAGATTTATAAAGAAAACAAACACCTATAATCATAAATTATCACAAAATCTACTTAATAATACAACACTTTCACCTCCTTTGATGAAATACAACTTACAACACTTGTAAGCTGTAAGCATGACCACTTTTCAAGCAGTATCAAATCCATGTTCTCAAGCTTCTGGCTTATGCAATCTTTAGTTCTCTTATTTCGTACCAGACAATGAGATTACAACACAATATGAGATGATAATCAGGTATTGACAAAACAACTGATCAATCTATTTACATGGAATGACGGAGTAATATATATAAACAGTCTTAGCAAAACTTATTTTTCTGAGGAATACATACCTCTTCATACAGAAAGCTATCTTCTCCGTATGTCTGCCTTAGAAACTTGCATGCCACTAGCCTTCAGGCAACTTCCACCTAAACTCATGATACTTCTTGTGAATTGCACTACTGCATAATGACGTTATTATGCAACAAAAGCCCTCTATCAATAGGAGGATAACAAAGCCTTCCTGTGCAATAGCTTCCTCTATGATTTTTCACTTGTGTTCTTTAGTCTAACCCTTGGCACTGAACACATCAGACATGTTTTTTTTTGTCAATTTAATGTGACTTGCAATGTTTAGGGAACTTAATTTCCTTTTTTATACATACTATGAACACTCATTTATGTAATGCCTTCTAATAATTGTTTGAGTGACTAATTTTCTCACACAGGTTGTGTAACAGTTATGGCTTATGGAGGCATGTTTCCTGGAATGACGTGATGGTCACTGTGAATAATATTTTGGGTTCCCATATGCTGCCAAGAACTTCAGCTCCAGTCCCTTCTTCAGGCATTCCTTCTCTTTGTTTGTGGGGTGAATGAGGAGGACGAATTTGCTTGTTCCTTCACCTGCTTAGGCTTTGGGAACTTCTCTTTCTGTGGAAGAGAAATTTTCTTGAATTCTTTGGCCATGATTTATCAGGTATGCACAATTCTTTATATTTCCCATGTGTTATATTCTTTTTTTTTTGTTCTCTACTTTTTTAATCCTAACCCTAACTCATTTTGTTTACCCTTCCTGGACCACTTGCATTTCCATAACATGAAGTCTATTTGATTCTTATTTCCTCGAATTTAGTCTTTCTCCATTCCCTATTGCGATTCTCACAATTGAGATTGCCTTTATCTGTGGGGGATGGGAGTGAACTATTGGCATCAGTTTTGCCCTCCATTACCCACTACTTCTGTCTTTACTTAATCCTTTTACCACACCTATTTACCTCTCCTATCTACACTTCCAGTCTGAGGCATTCCATAGTGCCCCAATGAAGCTTGTGGGTGATTATTGTTCCTTTCACTCCTCCACTGTGGCCATTATACTTCTACCACTTTCTTTTCACTTGCCTCTTTGTTCTTGAAGGTTGTTTGGTAGGGATACTCTCCTATCTGTAGTTCTTCTTTCTTCCCTTCTCCACCTAGCTCTTTTCTTTGCCCTGAAGTTTGGTGGTATTCCTGATTTGATTGAAACATGGGCTGAGACTGCCTCTCATCAATCCACACTTTTGTATGTTGTTTCCATAATGTCCCCAAACCTATTTCCTCTTTGTACCTTGTCTTAGTCCCTGTTTCCCTATCTTTTGATTCCGAACTTCCTCTTCTTCCTGGCATCAGACTTGTTGAGCTTTCCAGTGATGTTCCATCTTGTTGGATCCTGTGGGTGTCTGGCTGTCACAATGTGAGCTCCTGTGGTCACTCTCTTCTATCCACACAAGGGTTTTTCTACTTTTTACCCACAAACTTCTTTCCAAATCCCTTCCTTTTCTCCTTTCTGCCCCCATATTGTTTCCTTTTTCCTTCCACTTGCTTCTCTGTCTATTGCCTTTTTGGGGCTGTGTTTGTCACCACTTCCACCAATTCCTCACTCCCACTCAATATCTTATTCACTGGGGGTGGGGGTGTTTTTCATCTCCCATCTGAATGTGAGCTATGGACCTAGCAGTCAATAGGAGTTGTGCCTATCCTACTTATTCTGCATGGAGGGTGAGTATTTGGTGACCATAGTTTCATGAGAACTGCTTATCCCTTTGGGTCACACACATATGTACCTCCTCACTGAATTATTTGACCTCAGTGGTTCTCATGCCCCTTCCTCCATTCTAGTATATGTATGGGTGGCTGGACCAATCTAATATCACCCTCTGTGTTCCATTACCTGCACCCACACTGGTTATACACCTTTCCATCTATGCTTCCCCCTCTTGTTGGGGAGCATCCCTGACTTTCAATTTTACATCTGGCACATGGACCTCAGATGAGTCTTCTCTCCATATCCAGGTGCTTGAACTTTCAGTAGACTGTTGGGTATGATCCCATTATTGCTTCTTTTATGGAATCATTTTGTTATGTTCCTTTCTGAAAATGCCTTAGCTTTTCCTCATTTAACTGCCTTGGGGGAAACCAATCCAGAACCCCTTTCTTTCAAACCCTGGACCTTCCTTCTTGGACCAATCCTTCACAAGTTGGTTTTCTTGTCTGCCATATACTGGGTACTATGAAACAGGTTGTGGATCACCTTTCTTGGCAAGACTGGAATCTGCTCACAGAATATCTCTTCTCCCCCAGTTTTCAATGGGAGTTCTCTCTTGGGGACTTCACTCATCATTGCCTAGCCAACTCTCTCTTTCTTTCATGCTTCCTCTCTTTAAATCATATGTTTTCATTTTCTTGGCCCTGGCTATTGCTGCCTTCTGCCTGGTCTGGTATTTTACTTGTCCTAATGCTCATTAACCTTTCCAGCCTTTACCTTGGGTCTTTTCCTTGACTGGCGACAATCTTGTCGGTACCCCTCTGGTTGTCTTAACCTTGGCTTCCTCTTCTATGCCACTAACAACCCAACCCTCTCTTCACCTGTCCCTTATACACACTATTGCTTCTCCCATATCCTTTCCATCAAGGGATCTTGTCCTTCCACCTTCATGTTTTGATTAGTCCAGTCCATTGGCTGTTGAACTGGACCTTCTCATCTGGTTATCCTTTCATTTCCCACTCTGGGCATCATTCTACTCACATGAAGAATATAGCTTTCAACATTGAACAATCCATTGCCACCTACTTCCTAATCATTCTACTGTCAGACATCTCTCTTCCCTTTACCAGGCTGTTCTACAGAGTTCAGCTGTCTCCACCTTTGCCAATTATTGGGCAGCCTTGTCTTCACCATTTTGCATGCTCAATACTGCAAGGTGTTTCCTCCCCTGTTCTTTCCACCTTGTTCTGGTCTTTTCTTATTCACAGACATACTCACTCTGTTCCCATGCCCCACCGTGATCTCGGTGTCATCCTGTATATTCTTACCTATGCCTATTCGAGACATTGGCAACCTGCAACTTTTACCACCTTTAATTCAAACATTTTCCTCTTTCTTATCATTTGTGGTTGCTGTTGTTCAATTGATTGTGCTAGTGAATCATCTTGTGCCTTTTCCATCATCCTCATGTTCTTATTTCTCCAAATCAGTCCTTCCTGCCATGGTCTTTAGCCACTTGTCCTTCTATTTCACCCTTCTTGGCTCGTTCAGACCTGGACAGACTCTTCTGCAACATTCGTGCTACTTGCTGTTACTTATCCCATATCTCTCACTTTCAGGGT